AATTGCATGAGGGAATATAAAAAAAGTCTAATCAACCAAAAGTTTCTTGACCCCCATGCAGTACCTCTATGGACCCCCTAGGGGTCGCGGACCCCCTATTGAAGATCTCCGGAGTGAATAGCTTTTATACAGCTCAGTATATTGCCATCTACTGGAAGCCAGTGTAGGTTTACTCAAACTTTAAATAAATAAACCACTGATTAACAGCTGATAGACAGTTTCACCAGTGGAAGTAATAAAAAGTAGGCCTAACAATACATTTGTGGTATTTGAGTTAAAATCTTTAAATATTAATTTAATTATTGGTGGAAAATGTAATTATAATCAGGTGTTGCTAAAACAAAAGTACTTTAATTTTCAAAAGCTAAAGCAGAAAGCAGCTCAGGGAAAAGGATTGAGCTAATATTCAAATGTATTGAGAATTCACCTTGTCCACCTTAGAAGTCAAGTCTAATAAAAAAAAATGCATTATTTTTATTTATTAAATATTACTATATTTAAACATTTAATCCATTCTGTTCTGCACCCAGAACACAGTGAGACCTCATTACTTACTGGAGTGGGTGCGGGGAGGGCGCATGTCAATCCTCTGCACCTCTTTAGCGTAATAGTCCTCCTCGCTGCTCTCGCGTTCGCACGCGGACTCAGCCAGCCGCGCTCGCTCCTTCACCAGCTCCCGCGTGCTGTTGTAGAGCAGCATGACCTCTGGCGGCACGGAGCCCGACGGCGTGTCGTCGTCGTCGTCCTCCGGAGGGCTGCGGATGCGCAGCTTGCTGAGGATCTGTCCGCGCACCGCCTCGATGCGCCGCGACTTCTGCGCGTCCAGGTCGATGGACTGACACGTGTTGATGCCCACGGAGAGCCTGTGCAGCAGCAGGAAGACGAGTAAGGAGAGCCACATGTTTGCCTCGATGAGGAGGCGAAGACAGAAGGGATAGGATACTCCTGGATCGGTGGTGGCGAAGCGACGTCTCCGGAGCGAGCGCACAGGAACGCGCGCCTAAGCTATCCAAAATGCGCAAAAGTCCAACTGATTTAGCTTAGGATTAATTCCACATAAAATAAACATTCAATGGAAAAAATGCTGGTCTCATTAACTTAAAGCTTTTTTAAACATATATTAGAAATAAAAGTACTTTTCTTACTTCTTGTTTTTTTTATTTATCTACACTTTTAAATAGCCCTAAAAAAAAATAATAGTCTGATTCATCTGTATAAACTTCTTCAGCAGAATTAATCTTCAGTTGTCCTGGTACCGGTACTAAAAAGGCTTTCTGTGAAGGAGAAATTAAAGCTTCATCAGTCTCCGCTTCCAGCCGTCCATCCAAGCATATTTGAGCCGCTTTCAGGAGACCAACGCAGAGTCATTGCAGGAGCTCAGCCCATGTCGCAAGTCCTCCAAACAGAAAAACCTTCAGAGTCCGCGCTTTATCCGAGGCAGCACGGCTCCGGCGCTCTCACCTCTGAAAGACGCATCTGTGGAGCAAAAAACTCGCCCATATCCGCTTCCACAAAATATACAGCTACAATCCCAAAAAGACCAAATAAGGTCCACCCATCCCCCGTTTTAGGTAAGTTTACTGAATGCACTTGGTAAAAAAAATATATCAAAAACACATATGATTTATATTGGAGCAGGTATATTGCTGCTTCTCATATAAGGAAAACAAACATTGAAAAAGAGGTAAAAATACATGAAGCAGTAAAACATGAAAGAAGTCCTTGAACTGCAAACTTGCATAAATAAAAACCTGGTAGCAAATTAGAAGAAGTTGCTCATAGTGAGTGTAGATCTGGTATAAATACTGAAACCTGGTGGATGATGTGAGAGCATTATCATGCAGATCCTCAGTGAGAAACAGAGCCCCAAACAGAGAGAGCCTCTCAGGGAGGGAGGAAAAAAAAAAGAGGGAGGAGAAGGAGGTGTTAGTAGGGCGGGATGCCATCAGGGTGAAGGGAGTGTGTGTCATTATGCTGGCAGAAGCTATCCTTTCACTTGAAGCACAGAGAGAATTGAACATTTAACAACATTTATACCACAGAAATCCAGATGTGCCCTCGCTCTCCAGGTAAACATGTCAACAAACCATGTGTGCCAGAATTTCCCCACAATCCCTGACCAACTTTGAAGGTGACCACAGGGTTATTAAAGGGGCCAGCTATTAACAGTATCCATGTTATTAAAACACACAGAGAAACCTCTGAAAGCTTGTTCTTGATAAATTTAGGCAACGCCGCAGTTATACTATATGTGAGCCCCCCACATTGGGGGGACTAAGTTCAATTTACATAAAGAAAACCGATTGATGCTCTTATATTCATATTAGCTGGGAAAATTAATTATGAAAATCAGTTCAAGTTTAACAAGTATAATTAGGAAGAATATGTAGTCCGGCTGGTATCAGACCACCATTCCCAAACTTTAAGATCACTCAGGAAAATCCAACTGGTGAACATTTTCAGCCTATCTTCAGTTCAATTCAGTTTATTTCTATAGCGCCAATTCACAACACATGTCATCTCAAGGTACTTTACAGTTCACCAGATCATACAGTCAAATTGATTCAAAGTTTTCTATCTAAGGAAAAGCAGTTGATTGCATCGACTGAATGCAATCCCTCACACTAAGCATGATTGTAGCGACAGTGGAGAGGAAAAACTCCCTTTTAACAGGAAGAAACCTCCTGCAGAACCAGGCTTAGTGTGAGCAGCCATCTGCCGAGGCTGACTGAGGTTCCCTCCACACTGTAGGTAATAATTCATTTTTTACACAATGGGCAAAAAAAAAAGAGAAATATAATTTTTTTTTTCATGTTAGTCTTATTTATTTGGGCTGTTTTTGTACAATCAATTCCAACCTTTTTTATTAGTACAACCAACAATGATACCTGTTTGTCCAATCAGCATTTACCAGTAGAGCTGAAATATCAAGAAAATCCCTTATTTCAGAAAACAACATGGAAAAATGGACAGAAGAAAGTGTTGTAGCAATGGAGGAACAGGCAGGGAAGAGAGAGTTACTGGATGTTTAGCAGAAAAAAAGGTCCAATGAAGAGCAGTAAGAAATAGTGAGGTTAAATACTGATGGAAGTGTGGAGAATGACAGTGGATAGCAATGAGACTAGTTGAGATGGAAGGAAACCAAACCAAGCTACAAGAAACCCATCAAGGAGGGAAAAAATAAACATTAACCTAAAGAAATAATTTACCATATTTCATAAATGTATTTAAAATACATGGGCCAGTTTATTGAACAAACAAGCACAGTTACATGGTAATTGAACCAGCTTTTGGCACCTTTGGCAGTGCATATAGCTGTCAAGTCCAATGGGAAAATGAAATCCGCCTCATCAAAAGCTTTCAATCAAAGGAAGCATGAAGCGCTCTAAAATTTCATGGTAAATGGCTGCATTTCACTGTGGTCTTTGAAAAACACAGTGAATCAACACTAAATCATAACTGACTGTGGAAACTTCATCCTGGACTTCAAGCAACATGGAACCTCTGCCTTTTCTCCTCCAGACTCTGGGACTTTGGACAACAAAGGAACAGTTATTTTCCTCCCAAGCCCAGGTAAAATCCTTCTGATGTCTCTGGTTTAGAAGGGGCTTGAAATAAGGACTGTGAAATCTGCAGCCCACATGTAGGATTTGTCTCTGCTTGGGAGGCCTGATGCAACGACTCCAGCTTTAGTCCACTTCTTGTAAAGCTCCCCTAAATCCTTAAATTAATGTTGCTTTTTCCTTCCTGTCAAATTTTGATAAATGTGCTTAAAAATCAGTGGCTGGTATGAAAAACAAAAAAAAGATGGCCTCTTTATAAATGTCAGTTACTGTCCTGTGGAGTTCTGTCAGGTCAGTGATCTTTTCTATTATTGTGTCACATGCTGACCCAGAGACCATTTGGAACGTCTGTAAACCTGTTCGGGAGTTAATTAGCCGATTAGGAAGTGAAACCAAGAGTTTCCAATATGTAACCACTTAAAAATATTCCTTTAATTTGTTTTCCCTAATCTACAAGCACTTATAGTCAAAGTTATAAGAAAGGTTTAACCTTGTGTAATGAATCTTTTAACTACAGTCAAATCAAATAATCTACAACATATAGGTTACATACCCAAACAGCTATTAAAGAGTTTTTTTTAGCCTACTTTCTGTTCATTGCCATCTTTCAGTGCATCAAGGGAAATCTAAAGAACATCCAGCATTTAGTAACTACACTAAACCAGAAACAACAGCTGCTGGGGGGGTTTGCTGCATTATAGCAGGCAATGTGAACTTTCAACCATTGTAACATGTCTACTAAAAAGGGCTGTTTGGCTCCAAGTAAGTTAAACGGTTTAACAAGATACAAAGTGCTTGATGTACAAAATCTTACACCTGCGACTATTTTTATAAGCAGGGCTGCAATGTTGGACGTTGTGGTGGATATTGGGGAGAGAATACTCAATTTTCCACTTTGAATTCCAACTTTTAGGGATGTTTGTGTCAAGTCTTCCAACTTAATGTGGAAACTGAGTCTGGGCTTTGACAGGATAAAACTGAACCCCTAAGTATGCTCTGATCCAACAAATGGATCTTAACCCTGGTGCTCGGGACCCACTGTCATGTAATTTATGTTTCCTTGGTGCCTAACTCCTGAATTTGTGAAAGAAAATTGAGATTAACAGCTTTCTGCAGCACTTGAGGACATGGTGGAGGTCATTTGAAGGAGAGACATGTCTTAAACTTAAAGGACTGTGAGTCCTGAAGGCGTCTGAGAACCACTGATATGGCTGCATTACTCCTGTTGGACGGAGAACCTCTGCTCCAGTCTCATGTATTTTGTACCCATAATTCTATTTTACTTTTATTTAACTGCTACCTGGAAAAGAAAACACATAGACACACATATGGG